CCCCAAAACCCCAAAACCCCAAAACCCCAAAACCCCAAAACCCCAAAACCCCAAAACCCCTCTATAAAACAGAGTGATAGAAAAATATTTTAAAGATTAGTTAATGGGTTTAATAATTTCAAACCCTTCGTTTTAGGGATACCGATGTCTGCTAAATTCTGGCCAAAGAAAAGCAGACAGTTTTACTAGAAAACTTAGTCTTCCTTGTACAGTTCCCCTAAAAACGCAGTGTCTCCCTCCTTCTGGAACGCTTCCTCCTTGTAAGTGTAGAAGTCCATGTTCGCAAATCCAGATGGGACCCTGAAGAGTCCCCTCCGGCCGGCTCTTCTGTGAGGGATTCCTCTGTTGCTGCCATTGATGACTACGTAAAACACAGCTTGGTCTTTGCGCTCGTAGAAGAAAGAGTCGTCTTCAACAACTGTGAAGTCATCAGCAGCGGCAGTTGGCAGGCTGATGGCACCACTGGTGGAACCAAGGTGGGAGCCACGTCTGGTAGGAGGAGCTGATCTAGATACTCATGTAACCTTTGTATTTTCACTTGTTGAATCTTGAGTAGAAGTAGAGTCTAATTTACAAAGTTCATCAACTTCCAGATTATAATCAGAAATTTTGACCTGTTCAAATTTAATATTCTGTACGTCCTCGACCTTGGGAAGCTGAGTTGATGACTTTTTCGCCTTTTCTTGAGCCTTATGCTTTTTCATCAACAACTTTTTATCATATCCCCATTTATAAATTTGGTTAACAGACAGGTTAGGAACTTCCGCCTTAAGAGCCTTAACTGTTTTTCTTCCCCAGGATGGATCCTTAGCAAAGTAAGCCTCAAGGAGGTTAATTTCCTCCTGGGTCTTCTTCCTCTTCTTGGCTCTAAGATTTTTACGAGTTTTCTTTAAAAATGAATTATTTCTCTTAAGAGTATGATTGGCTATTTTAGTATTATCCTCTCTGGCTGACAGAGACTTATCAACACTAATAAATGCAGAAGACTGCATTTGAAAGTTGGTATCATCGCCAAGAGCTGGGTTGCGACTATCAAGCCTACCTACCGCGGTAAGGTTTGTCTTGGAAATACCCTTCTTTTTGGAAGAGGTATGGTCATCCTCTTCATCACTTTTAGCAATATTAACATAGTTTTTGTTTTGCATGAACCTTAACAATTGATTTTTTTGTAAATTATTCTAATTTTCAATAAAACATTTCTTATATGGGGTTTTGGGGTTTTGGGGTTTTGGGGTTTTGGGGTTTTGGGGTTTTGGGG